GGGGGGGAGAGGGGTTTGAGGGGAAAGAATGGGGGGGGAGAAGGGGTTTGGGGGGAAAGAATGGGGGGGTAGAAGGGGTTTGGGGGGAAAGAATGGGGGGGGAGAAGGGGTTTGGGGGGAAAGAATGGGGGGGTAGAAGGGGTTTGGGGGGAAAGAATGGGGGGGGAGAAGGGGTTTGGGGAGGAGGGTGTGGGGAGTTGGCGGCGGTGTCGAGAGGGAGGGTGGAGGTGGAGGTGGAGGTGGGGTTGGGGTTGGGGTTTGGGGGGAGAAATCCTAATAGTCAAACCCTAAGTCAAAACACCCACGGATGCCGACGAGTGAAGCACCAGCCGCCGCAGATGTCCCGTGGGGCAATTGCGCAATCACTATTTTTATTTGCTCGCAGCTGCGGAGCGGGTGGAGGAAGGAAAGAGGGAAATAATGTCGTGCAAGAATCAACGGGAAAGATCAACTACCAACGCCCACCCGTCACCCCTGGGGGCGGGAAGGGGGGAGCCCCTAAACACGGGATCAAGGGTATTGGGGAAAAGTTGGGGGGGGGGGGGAGGAAAGGCGGTCTGATGGGTCAGGAAAGGGCGAACGTCGCGGCGGGGAAAAAGAGCGTGTTTTGTGAAGAGAGAGAGAGAGAGAGAATGGCCGAGTTAGGAAAGCAAGGCCCACCGACCGCCATCGCATGACCGTTATTAACCAACTGCCGCCGTACAACTCACCGGAGGGTGACACGCTGACCAACTGAACGTCCGCGTGGAGTTCCTGCGTGCGCGTGAGGATGCGTGGCGTGTGTGTTTTTGTGTGTTTTTATCAGTTTCACAAAGCGGGGGAAAAGAGCGGGGGGAGGGGGGAATGGGGAAAAGGAGGCGAGGGGGGAGGGGTTAATGTGACGAAAGGCGTTGACTACGAAGAGGTACTTGACCAGGACCCTGCTGTCAACACCCGCCCCCCTCCCAAAACTGCCTGTATGTGTTGAGTTCCCTGTACGACATTCGTACGGCCAAATACGCATACTCGAGCGTATGTCTATGCGTGTGTCGTTACCCGTGTCGTTTACACACGGGTCCCCCTGCTCCGAAACCGCACCTGCGGCATCCCGACCAGCGCGCGCACAGCAGCAGCACCCCCACCGCCGGTGCCGCTATCCATTGCCGTACCGTCGCCGACCGCCGTCAACGCCGCCGTGATGTTGTACCTCCTCTGGGCGTTGGCCGGCAGATTACGTTGCTGCAAAGTGGCCTGTACGAAGCAGTACACCCGCGGGACGAAGGGCCCCACGGGGTCAGCCACAATGGGGGAATCCTCCAGGAGTGAAGGGCCCCGGGGAACACGGGTTTGGGGTTTTCCAACCTTTTTATCTATACCCTCTATAGGCTGATAATGGCGCAGGACGCCCTATGAAGCGGGACACTCAGTCACCCCTATTTATGCTGCTCCTTCATCTCTGATCATAACCCTCCCCACTTAACACAAACCCTGCCGCTTCCTTGCCCTCGACCCTCTTCCCAGCTGCCGTACACGTAGGGCAACTTGCACCCCGCCCCCCCAGCTCAAAATACATCACCCGCCCCTCCATCCCTCCCCTCCCCTCCCC